ATATAGAAAAGAGATGGAGTGAATTCCTTTAACCTACAAATGTGTTGTAACATTCAAATTAATTGACTTTATTTTATTATGTCTTAAACATTTTTTAAACATTTTTTACCTTATCTTATTTCATCAACAATATTAACTTACAAAAATATTACACCTACTAACCTACAAAAGGTACCTCCTCAAGGTAATTAAAAAAAATGTTTTTATGAAAGTGCAGCAAATATTTAAAAAAAAATGGTCAAAATCCTTTATAGAGTTTAGCAAATATTAGTCTGTCCCTATATAAATAAGGAAGCAGTCATTAACAACTTTCAACTGGGTGTGTTCTGTACAAACCCTGCGCTGAATCTAAAAAATGTGAACATTCTGATAACGACATCACTAAAAGTCTGTTCAATCTTAGAAGATTCTACAACACCAGAACCTCTCATGTTTTTCTTATAGTGCAGCTCTGCTAATTCCCTTTTAAAGGGATAGTTCTAACCAAATTTAAAAATTCTGTCATCATTTACTCACACTCATGTTGTCCAAAGTCTGTATGACTTTCTTTTGCAAGAACACAAAAGATATTTAGCAGACTGTCTGAGTTGCTCTATTCTATAAAATGAAAGTGGATGGGGACCAGAGGCTGTCAAGCTCCAAAAAAGACAAATATGCACAATAAAAGGATCACAAAAGTGGTCCATATGACTACATTCCAAGATGTCTTAAGCCATCTAGACCTCTATGAGGAATGAAGTGAAATTTAAGATCACCATTCACTTTTGTATATGGAAAATAGCAGCTTGGACATTCTGCTACATCTCCTTTTGAGTTCCACAGAAGAAAGAAAGTCACATGGGTTTGAAAATACATAAAGGTAAGTAAAGTATAATATGTTTAAAGAAAATCCATCCCCATGATAAACAAATAAGCTGTGTTCTTACCATTCATGACTGCAGGTGGGATGTGAGGGACCCTCTACTCAACCGTCTGGATAATACTCATCTGGAGAAACAGAGAGAAAGAGAGTGAGGAGGATTTTACATGCAGACAAGCAACAGAGGACACGCTATGAAAGAAATTAAGCAAGAGAGAGACTGTGAACAAGTGAAAATGGGACTAAATGGGAAGAAGAGAACAAGTAGAGAGTAATGAGAATGGAAAAGAGGGCTTTTAAAGATGGACAAAGGGAGATGCAAATCTTCTCAGCTGCGCTTGAATATTTTGGCCATTGTTTCTATCCATTTTCCTCTTACACTTGTGGGATTACAAATTTAAGAATCTGTTTAAAATATGCTGATCCTATGTTCTGACATAGCATCACATGAAAAACTAAGGTGAAGTACATTGTATTTAGCATTTAAGGTAAATTACATCAGACAAATGATTATCTTAAGCAAAGTGTAGCAAGAGGTTCCTGTCTGTTCCTATTCTCCTATTGTTAGTAAAATGAACCAGATTACTGAGACGATCACCTTTTGTTTGTAATGGCTCTTGGTGCCTCTGCCTCAGTCTTTGAGTAGTTATACTGATTGGATTAGCACCTATGCATTTGAATGACACTGTTATGCTGATGAGATCAAGGCTGGGAAAATGCCGGTGTCGGGCTGATTGCCTGTACTTCATTTGCATGCTATGGGTTAGATTGTCTCCACCTCTACTGAATGTATCCCGCCCCCTTAAAATGTATATAAACTACAATGTATTACTGCCTTAGTCAGACTTTTGATGACTGCAGCACCACGCAGCGCGTTCTCAATAAAGAACTCTGCTGAAGATACCCAAGAGTCTCCTGGTCTCTGCTTCGATGAAGAAAAAGTTTCCTACAATAGCAACATTCTAGTACCACCCATAACATCCTAGAAACTGCATAGCAATACCCTAGCAACCACAAATCAACACTTTAGCATCACATGGTGACTTTTGCACAGAAAACACTAAAAAAAAAGTGTATCCGAAAGGGCCTCATGCCAAACATTTTTTTCTTGTTATTATATGAATGTTTAGCTACAATTTGAGTGTTTATATTATGTTTCGCAAGCCTATAAGTACAATATGACCATGCTGCATTGTAGGAAGTTGCTGTTGCTGAGTGAGATCAGCAGAATGGTTGAATACTAAATTACACTAAACAGACAAAAACATACTCATGCAGTACTATTTACAACTTATAAACATAGTGAGACTGTTCAAACTTAAAACACAGAAAAGTATGAAACAGACCAAAAATTTAGGACATCCTTCTTAAATGAACACGTTCTGGTGTCACAGACTGCACCAAAATGCAAGGCCAGACTCACAATATAAAAACACAGCAGGGCATCACTTGGTGCTTTAAAACATCTGTTTCATTTTTGGGTTCAAAACACATGCTTGTCATTTCTTTTCATTTAATGCATTGATATAAATTTGCTGTAAATGATTCCTCCTGTTATCAATGAAAGCTCCTATAATAGTAACAACTGTGATCTTTGTAAATGAAAGTGACCTGTCCTGCTAAACAGTCTGGACTTACACATTCACTCATCTCTGATAATCTCTCTGATCATATGTGTACTATTTGTAAGCAGTCCAGCTGCAATTGCTTTGGCAATACAAATTTATAATTTTTGTCATGCCAATAAAGCACTCTTAAATTGAAATTGAATTGAGAGAGAGAGAGAGAGAGAGAGAGAGAGAGAGAAAACTTGCAAGGACCATTGGTATGTGATCCTGTCTGGTGTATCTAATGAATTTACTCTTCTCAGTCACGACTGCATTAGTCACACACAAACAGGCTGTCATCAGAAACATCAGTCGCACACACACGTGCCATGCCCCCCATGGAGAGCTCTGAGGGCCACAGTGGGAAGAGCGCATGGGATCAAAGGTCAAGTGTGTTAAAAACAATGTGACTGAATCTGGAAACGTGTGTGTTCGGCGTAGATGTTCTTGCTGAGTAGATGTTGGAAACGCATGACACGTTTTCCCAGACACTAACAAAGAACAGACATCGCTTCTGTCCTCCCTCGTCAGAGTTTGGTCTCTTTCCTTATTTCCCTTGTGTTCACAGCTCTTTTAACTCTCTCTCTCTGCCTCTCTCACCTCATCACCATCAGGCTCCTTTTAAAACCAACCATCTGAACCAGAGCACCTCTGCTTTCATCTCCAAAAGATTATCTTCAATGTCAATTCCTCACGCACACTTCAGTACTTCATCTACAAATGGTGACTCTCAATGGCTCACCTACAAATGGCTGAATATGATAATGCAAAAAGGGTTTCTTCCTCAAATAAAATAAAAATAAATAATAAGGATGCTTGTTCACAAAACAATAATGAAATAATTGTAAAATATGTTATAATAATGACAATTAATAATAAACAATGACTATTATTAATACTAATATAATCTAATAATAATAAAATATATATTTTTTAATTTCAGTATTAGTTGTTCCAAAACCATGCAAACAACTGATTGCATCCATTTAGGGTTTTTTAATGTCATAGACTGATTAAATGAAATATTCTAAAATAAATCAGTACATTCCGATTCCTTTTAGCTGAAGAAGAAATATGGCTTTTATCTTTTATTCCATTAAAAAGAACCGGTTCATAAAATTGATTTGTTCGTGTTTCCGACTATACTGTTCGAGCTGTCATTAATTCGGAAATCGGATCATACTGTTCGCCTTAACTGTTTTTGATTCACTAAAAAGAACCGGATCATTTGAGTCGTTTGTTTGAGAATCGGACTACATTGTTCGCCCTGTACGTTTAAAAAACCGGCTCGTACAAGTCATTCGTTCAAGAATCAAACCGCACTGGCCAAATGGTTCTCTATTTGAGAGGTCATGCAATAGCCTGTTCTGATAAAAGCCTACTTTATAACCAGGAACAGCACATAAGTACTGCGATCAAAGCTCCCTCTAGAGAATGCTATGAATAACACCACGAGACTCTGACGAAACATCAGCGCTCAAATTCCGCTGCATTCAAGTCTGTCTCCAGTCAACGCCGCGTTTCTGAGTCCACAACCGACCACTGCAAAAATAGTCCAATAATGTCATAAACACTCCTGCAATTTCCGTTCCAGATGACAAAATCGATCCAAATGTAATGTTTCGTGACTCTCAAAAGCAAACTTTCCTTTTTCTGGCACATCAAGTTTGATTCCACAATACAGACATCATCTACACCGTTTCCCTTGTTAAATTAATTAGACGACACAGACAGCAGAAATATTGTGGGAAATGGTGAACAAAGAAATGTAAATGTTAAGATAAAATGTTCTGCTGATCTAAATAATAGACGCGCGTAATGGACGTCTAACTTACGACATTTTACTCACCGAGGTAAAGTTACGCGCCTTTCCCTGGTAATTACTCCGCTCCTGAAATTTTAAACCAAACCATATGCGGTGAAATTAACTCTTTCCTGGATGTGGTTTTTGATCTTTTTATTGGAGGAACAGGAATTTATGAAGCCTACTCTAAATATGTTGCTTGTGATGTGTGTTAGTAAATAAGATAAAGAAACAACATAGCATGTGTTTCTAACTTATTTGCGCATTATTTTAAATGTAAGAGTTTAAATTCAACACAGTAATTTAAGGAAATGTATAAAAAGGCACTTAAGAAGACATCGTTAAACCTGAAAGGGGCTAATTGTTTCATAGAAACTGTTCTGAACACTCTGGATTAGTTGACAGGTTCTAAATCATGAGGGTACCTACTTGCTTTATCAAAGGGGATCTGACGACAGGAGTCTGGGTCTGATGCCGGCCAGGGGCAGTAGTACACCGCTCCTCCCTCCACAATCCCTGGCTGAGAGGTGTTCGCTTTAGGAGCCCCAACCAGCACCGACATGCTGGAGAGAGAAAGGCATAAATCTACACACAACAGCATCCTACTGGATCAAAGGAATATATTTACAAGTGACAAAATGAACGCCAACAAAGTCATTCAAATGTGAGTTAGCCTATTTTAGTTCAGCTTTCCAATTACATGTACTTCAATATTAACCTCAGGCGTCTGAGTTCACTGGTCCATACTGGTGGTGCTGAAAAGGCTTTTGCATAAGAAGCTGCGTCAAAAGTCTCGAATATAGTAGGCATAACCAAACTAAGTTTGTTTCTGAGAAAGTGGTTATTACGAAATATACTGGAAGATGCCTGTGTTTGGGAGCTTGTCAATTTTATAAAAACAACAAAAAGTTTTTTTTTAATCTCACTTACGCGTTTCCATCCTGTGTTGGGTGGTAAAAGTCCAGTGAGTATCCAAAATAACTTCCCTCTGGTCCATTGTAAACCGTTGGCTTTTCCAAATCCAGGTTGAAAGCAGCAGCTTCGCATAAAACTGAAAATATGAGCAAAAACCCATGAAAAAACACGCGGAAAAAACAAGGGTGCATGGCGTCAGCCCGGTGCCTCCAAATGTAATCCAAATGTTCTGATTAAAGATGTGCAGACAGAATGTAAGGTATGTCCGCGTTCAGCTGTCAGAAATTGAGTGCGCGCTCCATGCGTCTGCTGCTACCTTTTTGCAAGCTGCGCGCCTTTCTCTGCGCGAGCTCTCTGCTCACTAAACATTATAATGAGCTGCGCACAAGACCGGACTCCGGCACCACATCACACAGCATCCGGCCAACTCCTTTTATGGAAAAACACACTTTATTTTAGACTAATCGGTTTATTGTGTTTTATTTATTTATTTATTTTTGAACTCTTGAGCTCTGACACGTGCAACACCAAAATATTAGTTAAATTTGACTGGCGTCTAATATTTACAAAGAATATTTCTATTTCCATTTCTGTTCCATTTCTCCCTTTGATGGCCTTTTTTGATGTCATATTAAATAGTTATGGTTCGGTTACTGACCTTAATAAAACAAGTGACAGATGTAGGGAGGTGTGGCTATAAATGTACCTTTCAACTTTATCACCTCTATATATATATAATACTACAAAAGTTTTGAGCAGCAGACATGAATTTTCAGACAGAAATAATACTGAATGGTGCAATCAAGATTTAGTCTGCCAGATTGTACCAAATGGGCTTCAAAAGAAACAGACTTTAAATTAAAAAAAATATAAAAAACTACCTAAAAAGGACATAGTGGAGCAATTCTGTGACAAATAATCACTCCCACACCCACACCCACACCCACCCTCACACACCCACACTCACACTCACACACCCACACCCACACACCCACACACACACACACACACACACACACACACACACACACACACACACAATATGCAAACCAAATCAGACAATTAAGAATGAAGACCTTTGCTGTAATATTACTATTATTAGTTGTGATAGGCAGCTATTATTATTATTAACTTTAAATATTATTACTTCTATCAAAAATTACTTAGAGACTATTATTTTAATAAATATAAATGTATATACAATTATTAAATTATCAAATGATATAAAACATAAAATAAACATATATAAAATATATACATTCCTAATATTATTTCATATAATGAAATAATAGAAATTGTTTAATAATAGAATGTTTTTTTGTTATAACCATTTCTTACTATGTGTCAGTAAGTTGTTGTTATTTTAGCATGTGTTTGGCTCAGTGTTATTTTTTTAGGATTACTGATAAACTAATGTAGTTTGATTTGTATTAGTTATCTATTTTAGTTTTAGTTACAGTTGTAGTAATGTTGTCATTTTATTAGTTTTTTACTATGTCTATATAGGTTTTTTTATTAAGTTTTAGTTTTATTTAATTTGAGTTATTTCAGTACTTCAACATACAAAATGGAAATGAAATAATATATATATATTGAATGTATTTATATATATATGTACATGTATATGTATATGTGTGTGGCTGTACATACACATATGTAGTTGTTTTTTGGTGTTTGGCTTAGTGTTATGTTAGAATCATTATTATACTCATACCTTTTGTTCTTTTAATATTTTGAAT